GCATTTTTATGCAACAAGGGAATTTCGTCGTGTAGCGAAAGCTAATAGACGGCTGATTCAATTGTCAACCGTAAACGTACGTGAATATTTATGGGTCACGTTCGGAGTAAGGTGCTCGTATTCAAATAAATTGTTACCTCGAAAGCGTTGGAGCCCAAGGTACAAACATTTCGTTGAGTTATATTTAGAGTGGAAAGCTACGTTTAAAGTCTGTCTTTAGCCGTGCTTTTCTCGAGCGCCCTTTAGATTTTCATGGTCGATTAGTCGACTATAGATTTTGAAGTCTTATTTGGATAGTGCAAGTAACCAGGTATGCATTAAACACTCCCTAGGAGTAGGGCCCGCCAGTACGTTGGTTTAATTCCGTTACTAAGGCATTGGGTAGGTCCTCAAAGTTTTGTAATTAATTAACAAGTTAATAAATAAGGTGCGTCCTCTGTGAAAGTTTATTGTAGGTGGTACCTACTATATACAAAATCTTAGCAAGGACAAGCTTTAGAGAAAGAAATTGAAAGAATATTAAAATTAATTATGGCTACAAAGTATCTACTTTAATTATTGCCATACCAGCCCCTTATTATTCAAGGCAGTTCTCATTAATTTCAAGCATAACAAAATACGCCTTTTGATTCGTAATTTTAGCATGCAAAAAACACTAAAACAAATGTTGCTGATTGTCTGTTTGATCTAAAGGTAGGGTCTATATATTCAACATAATAAATTGTTAAAGTTTTGAAATAAAATCAATACGTCGCACGAATTCTACGCATAACGCCGTATTGGGAACACGAAATAAACCCTAAATCGCATTACTTCCCTCTAATTTTTCTAGTTATTTTTTTCAGTTCGTTCTTTCTATACCCTAGACATGCAATACACCACGAATGGAAGGGGGGGGGGGGCTATATAGACGTATCTGTCAATTAGGTCTATTTCTGGAATTATTTTTACGTGATTGTGATTAAGAGCAACAGGCAAATAAATTTTGGAGGGCACATGAATTAGTTTCCGAATTAAGACGCACAACGGTGGGATTTTCGATTCTGTTTTATTCCCGAAGCGTCTGGAAGCTTCAATCTATTTTAAATGTGAGTGGGCCCCCTGCAACCACCGTAAGTAGATTATTCTTATATATTGATTCGAACTAATGATGTCTAATATGGCTTGGAACTTTGGGTGCCTCCATTTCCACTCTGAAATCTTTACAATATGGCGCTAGGTGTCTGTAGCTCATGACACCTGAAGCCAGAAGTCGACACAAACGCTGGAATAGTATTATCTGTGATGGTACTCCTTTTTAATTAAAATTGTATAACATCTTGACTAAACTACATGGAGGTGCCGTTTCTCTAGGTTTAAACAATGCTGAAGATGAGAGCGAGCCACCTTTATGTAGTGTAAAAATACGTGTTGTTTACGTAGTGTTGTCCAGAATAACGATGGTGACTTTATTAGAGAAGGGGGCTTTTGCTTAAATGGGAAGAATGAAGAGTAAACGAGGCTGTCTCGGGTTATTTTGAAAGAAATCTCTGACGCTAATTTGGGTAACGGTAGTCCAGCCGGCTCTGCAATTTCGTGGGTCGACCTTTTCAGGAATGTTACATTGAGCATAAATTGCTATCCAAAAATGTTGAAATTATCTCCAATGTACAGTCGATTTTCTCCTTTCGAAAGGTAGCAGCAATTCGAAAAATTGGATAGTGGAACGCCTTTTGCATCACAAGTGGACCTTTTAATTATGTCGCCTGGTTTTGAAAAATGATTGAAGATGCTAATCAGAAATAAACTGGGATTCAGATTTCTCGTAATTTAGTTGTTGAAATTTGGTTCATTTACGGGAATAATTTGGTTGATAAAATTTTATCGTAACCAACCGCTTCAAGTGTAAACGCAACGAAATGTTCTATACTTTTTCCGCAACGTTTTCGTGGTAAAATTTATTTAATAGTCCAGGCAACGAATGAATATACTCGGTATGGTTGGAAGCGAAAGGTTTGACTTCAGAACCTTGTTTGGACCCCTTAGGAGGTAACCATACTCAAAGTCCCCAGGATTCCGACTGGAGCCTTCCCGGGGGGAGGGGCGCAAAGGTCAACATTTTCTGTTTTTCGCTGATATCTTAAAAACGGTGCGTCTAGGAAAAAATTGTTTAAGAGCAAAATTAAAGCTCATAAAATTCATTGTATGCACTTTTTCGAAATTCCCAACCGTTTCCGCGATATAAGCTCCAGAAGGCCGGAAATTTTTGAAAAATTGTTTTTACCCACGCGTTTCGTCAAGCATTCCTTATATCCTGTGAACCGATTATCTGAGAAAAAAGCCGCCGACGAAAAAGTTGTAAAACATTAAATTTCCTTTCCGAAAATATGGCTCCTTTCCAAATTATCGTAATCAGTCAACAGTTACAGCAGTTTTAAGATTTCCTGAAATTTTTCATCATCTTCTATATGCAACAATTTCAATGATTTGTCACCTACACTCTTGCTATTTTCCATTTTAACTTCTATTTATGATATAAGGACAATAAATTGGCACCCAAGTGGGTAATATGTCCAGGAAAAATTATTAATAGGTATTATTACGTGATAAAATTTAAATAATAGAATGGATTATTCGCTGTCATTAGCAGTGGACGTGCAAGGTTAGTACATTGTACTTGTCTCTTCGGGCGGGATGGGGCGGGCTGTTCTTCCTCGAGTGGAGCGTCTTCCGGTGAAATATCCACAATTTCGACATCGTATATGTCCTCTTCGCCCTCTTCCTCTTCCTGGAGAGGTATCCCATTCAAACAATTTCCGTGGCAATTGTGGCAGATGGTTGAGCATCGCATGGAGGCCTTTTTGCACCCACATCTCGCAGAACTGCAGCCTGTCATGCATCTGCAGAAAATACAGTTGAGTATTTCTTCCGGTGCAGCTGGATCGGTTGTGAGGACTGGTATCAGGTGGTTGTTGTGATCCCTTTCCCAGCCCCATTGGTCGGGGGAGAGGTCGTTCTCCAGCCATTGCTGGACCTGGTGGTACACTCGAAAGCTGTGTTGTCGTGCTGCTCCCTCGGATGGTGGGAGAGACGAGATATCTGGCTTCACTGTGGACACAGACTTCAGGAAGCATTCATGGCGATAGCTGTTTTTTTTTTGTCTAAATTACCCACTTGGATGCCTATTTATTGTCCTTATATCATAAATGGAAGTTAAAATGGAAAATAGCAGGTGCGAAGGTGAGAAATCATTGAAATTGTTGCATATAGAAGATGACGAAAAATTTCAGGAAATTTTAAAACTGCTGTAACTTTTGACCGGTTAAACGATAATTTGGGAAGGAGCGATATTTTCGGAAAGGAAATTTAATGCTCTACAACTTTTTCGAAGGCGGATTTTTTTCTCAGATCATCGGTTCACAGGAACAAAGGAATGTTTGATGAAAAACGTGAGGTAAAAACCGATTTTTCAAAAATTTCCGACCTTCCGGAGCGTATGTCGCGGAAACGGTTGGGAATTTCGAAAAAGTGTATACAATCATTGTAGACAATTTTATTGGCTTTGATTTTGCTCTTAAACAATTTTTTCCTAGACGCATCGTTTTCAAGATATCAGCGAAAAACAGAAAATGTTGACCTTTGCGCCCCTCCCCCCGGAAAGGCTCCAGTAGGAATCCTGGGGACTTTGAGTATGGTTACCTCCTAAGGGGTCCAAACAAGGTCCTGAAGTCAAACCTTCCGCTTTCAGCCATACCGGGCACACCCCCCTTTTAGCACTCGTTGCCTGGACTATAAGTGTTATTATACGTGAATGGTGAATCCAATAAAGCAATAAGACGAAGACGCTCTTGTACATATTAAGAATACGACCCATTCTTCTTCATATATATTCACGGTTGAAAATAATTCAGCCAGCCTGTCCATTTCTCTACACAACGGAGTTCCCTTTGTATAGCTTGTCTTTATGCCCGTTGAGGGCCCAAAACAAGAGAGGGATAATAAATAAATAAATAAATTAGATTTATTTGCATTTGCAACTCGCAGTGAATTTAAAAAACGCACACAACCTCCTGGAAACACACTTTCCAGGCTCTGAGAACTACGTACTTAATAGTGCGGTCAGCACGTGAAGCAGGTTCGGACGAGATACTCCCAACTCTTCTGCATAAGGCGTTTCTAAATATCGAAGGGGCGTTTAACAACCCCACATTCAATTTGGAAGGCACAGGCGGCCGCATCTAGTCAGAAGAAGGTGGCAAAGGCTGCGGCCGCGAAGAGGAGGACCGGCGCTCAGAAGACACAGGCGACGGCCCGTCTCCGTCGAAATCTCCCTAGAGAACCAAAGAGACGACGAAGGTGCCCACGAAAAAGCCAAAGGCGGCGACCGGCTCGCGCAAGACGAAATAATTTCGCAGCGAGGAGACATCCCTTCTCTCGAAGTAATTCCATTATTAAGCTACTGGAGAGTCAATCATGGCACGAAAAAGGGAACACAAGTTTAAGCCTGCAAAAAGCAGTAGGGGTGTCTTCATCATGCCCGAGGAATTGCTACCTCCCTTGTCATGTGTCAGAGTCAGGATTATAAACTGGGTTAGCAGTCTATTTCTGGTTCAGTGGTAATGAACAATGGACTTCTGGGAAAATATGAGTCTTATTTAAGGCTTCTAAAACTGAATAAAAGACAGATCAAGACCATCAGTGTCATCACTGGACACTAGATGGCCAACAATCATCTGCACAACATTGGGCTTGTAGGAGTTCACGTGTGAGGCAGATGAAACCACTGAGCATGTGGTCTGCCACTATAATGCCTTTATCAGAGATAGACATCAGTTCCTTGGCGACAGTTATCGGGAACCGGGGGAGGATCAAGCAACTTAGGCTAAACAGGGCCCTACCATTTATTTAAAGAAACTGGCTCTGAACAAAGTTGCAAAAGAAAGGGAGTAGGAACGATGTGCCTAAATGCTGCCCTAGTCAGGCTCCCCTTGTGGATAGATAGACAGATAATAAAAACAAGATAAAAGTATGATTTAAAAATTATATTTTATTTATTTATGCTACACCTTCACTTACAAATTGTAAGAAAATTACTATAATAATCGGCAGCTTTACTCTTAAAGTAGATATATCACATTGTCCTAGTGTCAAAAGAGACGAGTTTAAGGAGTCGGTGGTAAAGAAGCTATATATTCTTCGGCCATACTGCACGCTTGCTCGATTTCGTAATTATGTGAAACCAATTGTACCCATTTCGCTTCAAGTTGGCGAAGTTGGTCTCCTCCTTTCGTCTGTAGAGATTTTCGTTGCCAATTGGTCTCTTGAATCGCATGTCGTAATTCCGCCAGTCGTTTTGAGGCAACACGTTCCGAATCGGTCAGCACCTGCAAATACCTCTGCCAGGCGGGACAGCAGTACTGCAACATGAGCTGTAAATTTAATATTCGCACAGCTTGATGCTCTAACTGTGCTTGAGAGTTATCTACGCACTCCGCCCAGGCATTTAGTTCGTTCAGTTTACCGCTCGGTGGTGGTGGCAATTCGTAACGTTTCATCGACATGGTCTCCATTGGTAAGCGATTTTGCAAACGTTCAAATTCGGCGTGCATCATTGGCGTTTCGAACGCTGTTATGTTTAGTGGAGGCAGGTGTTCTAGATAATTTTTAGTCGGACGATAACGTCTACATTCCTCCTCGACCATTGCGAAAGCCTAAAAAATGAGTGTGAAAGAGCAGCGGGCGGTCAATTAGGTGTACACTTACCGCTTCTCTAACACCGGGTTCATCGTACCCCTGATCTATATATGGTAAAGCATCAACAACTACCTCCCCTGCCATTATTTAAAAATCCTGAACTAGCGTAATTGGAAACGAAAGTCGCAATAGAATTATTAAAGTTATGTTGAGCTTTGAGTTGAGGTTATGAACAAAAACAATTCCTGATTTGTGCCATGCCAAAAGCAATGTTGCCACATCAGAGAAATCATTATTAGTGTACAGAGTGCGTCAGCGAATCAGTATTAAAAATTGGTCATGAGATTTCACCGGTTTTACACGTTTATTGTTTTAAAAATCGTATAAGGAAACATATACTAAGTCATTGTTTTTATTCGGTATTTAAATACTCCATTTTGTCCTTAGCTCTAGTCAGTGTTGTATTCCACTTATAAGTTTGATCTTTGACTGTGATATTTTATTATTGTACATTTGTTAGTTATTTACATATTTATTGTTATTGTATTTATTTGGTCTATTTATGTGATGTGATCTGTAAATTTTAGGGCACATTTTATATTAATAAATTTAACAGGTCGCTTTGTTATCAGCGAGTTGATCGTGTGAGTAAATACAGTTGTGGACAAAATAATAACCATGTAATACATTGGTGCGATTGGCGAGGTTCCAGCCGCCTCACTGACTACCATTTTTATTTGAACGCACTAATATAAGGAGAGTAGAAAGAGGGGACCTCGATAAGATTCTAAATTAAAATCTACTAGATGAAGTGTAAGCACTTTCACCCAACACATCCCTCCTACACGTTGCGCCTTATAGCATAATATAACTCAAAAAAAGGTAATAACAATGGAATATATTCATAAAACAATCACAAAATTTTGTGGTGACTTATCCCTATATCAGTTTTTCCATTTTTTGTTTTTAACCATCCACTACCACTGCATAGTCTTCTCTTGAAAGATTCCATTCTTGCTCATGCTTCAGGTTCATGCTATTTGGTATTTGATCGATCTACTTTTCGTACTTCCACTATGAAAACTGTTACTTTCGTATTTAGTGAGTAGGGAGTTATAGAAAACAACATTTAGAAACAATAATAACGTTTAATATTACAAATGTGTGAATGACTTATTTGCTAAAAATGATGTTTTCCAAGTGAAGAATGCACATAATACGTCTTTCAACAATACTAGTCACTTCATTTTTTTTGCTTCGCCAATTTGCTTAATATATGATGCCCTGCCAAGAAGGTAAAACCACCAATTGGAATCAACCACGCACATGTAGCGAACATATCTAATTTTAACCAAAAACAAGTGAACAATGAAAAAATTCCTCCCAACCCCACATGGAAGGGTAAGGCGGCAAAGCTGAAATTTTTAAAGTTGATTCCCACTTTTATCCACAAAATAAGAAGAAGTAAAAGTGGCGAGGCGGCTAAAGCGGTGAACAGCATAGACACCGTCTGTGGAGGCCTTTTCTCAGCAGGCCGGAACATGTGTACAATTTCAGGACGTGGCCCACGCTTAGATTGCGGGCTGGGTTCTACAGTAGACAAAGCGACATCAATGGCGCCAAATGACCAACGCAAAGGATTGCTCATGATCGAATCTCCGAGTATCAGTTCCAATTCAAATTTAGCCGAAAAAGACAGTTCGTTAGCTAAATTTACGTCGATCTTGTAAGCCTTGCTGCTGTCTAGCTCGGCAACGAAAATTATCTCACGTTTACCCGAGCTCAGCCTCAAGAAGGGTTGTTGGACGGGGCGCGACAGGGAAAATCTAAGAATGAGATGGTGACTCGAGTCCGCCTGTAGGTTTGTGGTTAGTTTCGAAGGGTGCTGCAACTTGGTCAGTCGCGGTGCGGACGTGCCGTCCGAGTCGCTCAATCCGACTTCCAACCATTGGACTGTAACCGGGCCTAAGACACGTACATTCAAGGCGGCCGAGTGACTACCGGCGGTTAGCCCAACTCTGTAATGCCCCGGGTCCAGCTTTAATGGCAAAATGTACTCGGTAGGAGTGGGGCCTGCCGTGAGAGGTTGTTTGGAGAGTACCACAACGTCGTCCGTTGTACGAGTGGCCGACTGAGCGAGAATTGGTGAAGGTGCAGGAGAAAGGGGTTGACCGAATATATTCGAAATTCGTACTTTTAGATCAGGTTTTGTGGTTGTGACGTGTGCGGAATCAACGAATGTAATACTGACCGGTGATACGCTACTCTTTGAAAGTGCGGCAGCTGCCTCCAACAGAGACACGACTCCTTTAACATTTTGTACCGTTTTTCTAGTTAAGAGATAGGTGGCAAACTTTTCTGCTTGTGTCTGAGTTACTGGTTTTGCTTCGGGCAAACGTAGTAATCCTGTGAGTAAAAGTGAGGTGAGAGTCAGCCCACCTTCCCATTGCATTATTCGGCCATCAACCTCATCTGCTTGCACCACAATGTCTTCCACATATTGGATAGCAAACTGTCCAGCTCCACCTAATAATGATGCCGCATGTAAAGCTTGCCCGACGCTGGGTAGGCTGTCGTCCTCCTTTAATTGTGCTTGTAAAAGTTGCACAATTTTGGTAGGGTTAGGTACAGCTTCGGAAAGAATGTTAAGAGATTCTAAAGCAAAGCGAATGTCCCCAATTGACGAATCTTGCTTATCTAGTGTTGCCTTTAGTGCCTGTCAAAGTTACTTTAGAAAATGCTATCACTTCACTCGACTCACCTTTAAAGTGCTGTCTTTATGGAGCTTCACGTTCAGAAGCTTATTACAGTTCAATAATGACCACGAAGCAAGCGAATGGAACACGATTTCATTGCTCAAATCATCTTTAAAGAACTTCTGAAGGTGTTTGCAAGCATCTGCGGCATTTATAGGTAAGGGTTGAGAAATTAGTGAAAATCCTTTAGCCCCGTAGTACACATTTGATAAATCGTCCTTGTTTAAGTTCTCAAACGCAGATTTGAACGCCGGTATAAACTTTTCGATATCGGACTTGCTAATGTAATCAGAAATGCTTGCATGTGTACATAGCAACAGAGTGCCTATTACTAAACTATCTGTAAACAAATAAGAGGCATATTTCACATAATTGCGTTAAACAAATGTAATTAGTACTTACGAATTAACATTTTTATTTAAAAATTTAATTAAACTGGGGGCACACCGGCAATAACCTGACACGTATTTATTGGTTACGCATGCGCGTTTTACACTTGAAATACACGTACCTCTCTTCGTTCAGTGGCGGCGCGTTGAAGGCAATATACAACAGTGGCGTATCGAAACATTTGACAAATTGCTCAAGATGTGATGTTTCAAAAATTTCACAGTGTAACCTGAAATTCTTTATTATATTAATTTCATTTCAAGGAAGTAATGTAGAGAGACTCCATTGCAATTATTTTTGAGGTATTGTAGTCCTTAAAAACCACATGTACGTACCCTTCTAATTACGTAGTGTCAACAACATCTTGTTGTTGGTAGTGTTCAGAGACTTGTTAATACTAGACCAATGAATAACTGAGCATACAATCCCACCACTTCGCATGTTTCTTACATGGTTAGGCAACATATCATACATGTGAGGGCAAAACGTACGTAAGGAGATATCGTTTGTTACTAAAGGTTGATGACTTCATATCTTAAAATGCGTAAACCCCATAACACACGAAGTAGATAAATAATTGGGTTTAAGCTGCGATTATATTTTACCTGTGAAATGAGATAGTATGCGATCAAAAAAGAGTTGCTGTCGAGTCACCTTTGGAATTTGTGTTTACATGGGAAATCATATTTACCTTGAATTTCCAAAGGCGACAGCTACGCGATATACGTTGTGATGTACCCAGGCCAGCCCCGAGGGACTGCGCAACTCAAGATTTAAATTCAAAACTTTCCCTCCCAAACTAACTGAACCCCATGGCACGTGATCGTCTAGACAAAGCTACCTAACCTGAATAACCAAATAATAGGACCACTTACTACGTTGTGTTTTTAAGAGTCGCTACAAGATATGTGCTGCCTGTCGGAGTGAGGATCAAGTAAGGAATACAAATAAAACAAGTACATGCTTTAAAAACGGAGATTTAATCCAAATAATTCTCATTGCCAGATTAAATTTAGAAAATGGTAGTTCCCCGAGTACAAATATAAAAATAGGCTGGGAAAAAAAGAACTGACCAAGAAAAAAACCAGCCAACAAATTAATACTGAACTTTATAGCAAAATTAGTTGTCTGTAATGGCATAAATGAATGTTGTCAAGTGCACCAATACAATGTCGAATCCCAGGCTCCCCTGGAATTCCTAAAGAATCAATATTACACACACATAACAAAAACCATCATTAAAACATTACAATAAATTCATATAATAGGTTTTGGATATTGGATGGCCAGTCCAAATCCCACACCGAGTAGTCATGAGATGTCAGCATTGTGTGAAATCGCTAGGAGTTGGCCTCTCAGAAGAGCCTTTCACATAGGAAGGATACCCCAAATTGTTAACAAAACAAAAGGTCACAACGAGAACACGCTTTTAGCGAATCCCTGCGCAAGTGAGGCCGGGCCTAGCCAGCGCCCTCCTGTACGACTAAGCGGGACCCCAACTCATTCATTCAGACATCTCTAGGGCCAGTCCAACCCACTAGTCTTAAAATGCCGGGTTATAAATTACCGAACTCCAGGCTCTCTACAATGAGTACTGACAATAACCGATCAAAAGACAAGTCATGACATTACATAAATAACAGAGTAACCAACGGCAAACTCGCACGCATACATAATTATAAACAAAATAAACACAATTCATGTAGGCGTTGACAGTTGACATATTTGCACTGGCATAACAAAGACTGACACAAAACCAATATTTGGTCACTACATGTCAGGGATCGACTAATCGGATTGATTAACAATATCGTCAAGATGGCTCTTTTCAAAGACACAAAAAAAACAGTACAAACAAACATAATCTCTGCGTATGTCAGTTCTGAACTTTAGCCAGCCTCTGCTACGTCAAATCGAGATTAATATCGGTATCAAATATAGCACAGTACATATTCGAAACAAGTCACCCTGCCAAATATTAACAATCATAATCGCCTGGTTCAAATAAATAGTAGGAGCATAACTTTTAGTACTATCACATTACAACAATACAAAGGAACATGTCGTGGCAAACATTGGTATCAAGTAATTAATTCACAATGCCAAGTGCAATATGTAACAATCAACCACCTAACGTACGGCACTCGCCCCCAGATGAGGCACCCTGTAAGTACACAGTAACATAATCAGGTAAACAAAAGCGAAATGTGCTGCAATAAATTCAATTATAAATTAAAATGTAGTTCTGCATACTTATATTGGGTATCGCCCCTAAGGGAACATACAGTATCTAAATATAAATAAAAATACGTAAATCGGTCAGTAATTCCCAGTAGGACCAGTATAATTAAAACTGCAATTTGTATCTGGAATGTGTTATAAATGGCAATAATCAATGCTGTAAGAGAATAAAGTTAAATTGGCAAATAATCGAACAGATACATATCATTATTAGATGGATGCAATAGACGTAGAGATAAATAAAACGAGTACATCACCTTTGTAATTGTTGAAGGTGCACTCACTATTCGCAACGTAAAGATTTACTTCTGATCTTAACAAAAGCACACATACTTCTGCCGCATTCTCCCCCTTTTTTGTTTAAACAAATCCTAGACGAAAACAAATGTTAATATCGAACGTCCCTCGAGCCGTCGGTCGATATGGATCATTAAGTTTCCTCGTATAGCTCGCACAGCGTAATATTTGACACTTTTATTGTAAATTATGGCCCATTTCAATGTAGAGCAGAGAAGAAAAAGCCACGTGTTCCACGGAAACGAAACAAAGGCAATCTTGACCTTTTTCGTCGCACCAGGCTCGGATTCGGCTTTGTTTGTAATATGTAAGTACTATCATCGAATTATAACTAGAAATTCAATGCTACAACCATCAACCAAAAAAAATAATAAAGCAGTACATCGTTGGACACTCTGTATATCTCAACGAGACAATCTCCACTGATAAATAGATACTTGACTTGACAACACAGAACAGTAATACTGTTCTGTGCTTGACAAGTGACAACACTGCGAGGGGGAAGTCAAGTCAAACTCCTACGGCTGCAATTTTTGATTTTTTTTGACGTGTGAACTGTGAAATCGAATAAATTAAATATGCCCTAGTTCTTCCTTAAATAAATCGTTTCATAAACATTATTTAAGATTATTTAAAACCGTAACACCTTCTTAAGCGATTAATCAATCCTTAACACTTGTTGCTCTTGGCAAACCCTCAAATCAACATAAACTTTGCCAATATTTACATTTTAAATTGCAATTGTGCTTTAAATTCTTCCAAAATAATGCGAAAATCTCCAGTTACTGTCCAGCAGTGGGTCGACTCGCTTCCTCCTTCCAATACCAGGTCAATTATTCACGAAAATAATCCACACAATTGCCACTCTCCGAAACTGATTCGAGGCGTCCTAGCTAGAGATGCGTCCATTCAGTCGGACGAGATCAGTTTGTGTTCGAGTTTAGAAAGTATGTTAGAGTTACGTCGGCCCGATCCCGAAGCAGTATTGTTGGGGCTGGGTTTCGGGCCATCGCAAAACGACAAATCTGTATCACGCATTCCACAACGATTCTTAAATCCTTCCAAGGTGAGCTGTACAGTTTGGTAACTATCTAAATTTTCGTGTTTTAGTTACTTACAAATATAGACCTTCAAAAATTTTTGGAACGCCAAGGCGAGCAGCCTATCCAAGAGGGGAGGTATGATTGTCTTCTACATTTAATTTTATTTCTTTCACTATTGTTTTTAGTCAATATAATTCTTTACAAAATTCTCCTGCACGCCAGCAGCCATCAAAAGCTACTTAATTACTATACATCCAGAAGATCTTTTTTATAGTAGGTACTGTGATATATTTAGATTATTAGTGAAACATATTTTTGAAAATTTTATTCTCTATTAGAGTACATATCCATGACATGAAAAGTATTAAGCTAAAAGGGGTCCAGTGAATTAATTCTTTATTGTATTAGATTAATCTACTCTTTAAATGTAAAAATATGTGCCTCTAATGATGAAAGTGGATAATGATAATTTTAAATGTATCTAATTGCTTAAGGAAAGGGTATCTAATGAACTAAATGGCACCAAGCTAGACTTACAATATAATGGCGTATTCGTAGATTAAGAGCTCATTGAACCTCTTCCAAGTTTCCAGTGTAATATCGAACAGAAATTATAAACATTTATAAACAAACACACTTATAATACTCTTACTCTTAATGTGCAACACTTGTATGATTTTGTGTGTAAATTCCATATATTTGGTTAAGAGTGTTTTAATAAAAATGATAATTTTTCTAAATGAAACTCTTGGTTTATATAGCAGACATCTTCAGCCCATGCCTTGCTCCTTAATGGTAAAAGCCAGGACTGATGGAAAGAATTACGGCATATAAGCCTTCATTTTTAATAAATAAATTAATAAAATGAATTATGCTCAACTGTTGCTCTATTACTCAACCCAGTGGAAGATTATTCCGTGGTAACAAACTAAATTTTCAGAAGCTATAAGTAGGAAATAGATAGGAAAATGGCCTTAGCCTTAGGTGGGGTTTTAGTGGGTATGCCCAGATAATGGGAGAGTACCACACTACTCCAGACCTCCATCTGGAGTGTGCGTAATGCATTTCCCCACCTGTCCAAAAAAAAAAACTATACTATATGTATACAGTGTGTCCAAGATAGGATAATGAACCCAGAGACTTGTTATAACTAGACCGCGCGTAACGTAGATTTTACTATAAACGCCTGTTGTCAAGATAGGATAGGCAACCAACTGTTCATCGCGGGGCAGACGTACGTTCTGCAGCTTGCTTTAGCCATGTTTATTCTAAATTTTAGTAGCAAAAAAAGATAACATATAGCTGTTAATTGTTTTACTCGAATTTATTGGTATTTTATTTGAACTAAATTGGTATATAACTGCCTTACTCTAGTCCTAATTTGATTTATATGTGTATTTTGGTGGTGAACACGTATGGGAAAATATACTCTTAAAACTAAAGATGTAAGTAGTAAGATATGATTATTTAGCGGATTTTGATTCAATATAATGCCTATCCAAAAACCCAAATGGGCTGTAACTGTTATTTATTTTTCTTAGACTGCTGATAACCATTTTGTTTACAACGCGGTGTGGTGTGGATTGAATGAAAAACCTGAACACATTTTCAGCAATTTGGCAAATTTTTAATGCATCGCTTGATACGTGCAACAATCCTCCACGATTTTTTCTAGTTAAAAGCTTTGAATGACTCTCTGATGCTAATATCGCATCTGCACATATGGAACATTTAACCGACTTAGCTATTTTGCTTGTAACAAAACCTGAAATATACTTAGTACCAGTAAGTACTTAGTTACGTCTATACCTAATAGGCAAATAGGTATTGCCGTTGTCTTGCTGGTAAAGGATGTCGTATAATAGTTCTACGTTATTTTAAGTGAATGGGAAAGTCGAAAACGCTCGGTACTGCATGATTGTTTAACACCTTCGTAGGTACCTTTCTAAAATTGGCTTCATTCCCCGCAAATGCACTATGGTGGGAGTAAATTTTTCTCTTCGAATGACTCTGATCCATTGGCCCCGTGGAAAATCAGCATATTATTTAAAAATTTATCGACATAGTACATGTTAACCTAAGTTTATTGGTTTATTCTCAACAGAAATTTGTCTGTTCACTAATTCGAGCTAATCACGAGAATGATTAATGAACGGAACATCTAAAATAACAGCTTATTTCATTATATTGCATAAATCATCTCAGCGATTTTTGCCCCACAGTGCATTGTGTGTTGCATACTGTGTCGACAACACCTTAGATACGTTAAGCGCAGTCTAGTTATAGCAAGTCTCTGAATGAACCGCATGGGGAAATCAGAAACGTTAGAAATACAGTCTGTTAAATTAGAAAAAAGTTGTGCATTTTCAGGCTTAGTAAAATGATATTTTAAAAATTAGGAAATCGAAATTAACCATACATATTTGTTTTTATTTTTTTCTGGCTCTGAAAATATAAAAAAAACCAAATAAACATTAAACCTAGGCACTTTTAACCCTGTACGAGAGTTTCAATGCGACGTTTCGTCTTTGAGAAACCATCATCAACTTCACAACTTCATATTAGTATTGGTACTCAAGAACCGGAAAAAAAATGTACAAATAGGTACCTGCTGTATTTAGCATTTTTTTTTATTACGGATACAATGATGTATGGCAATATGGCACATGATTCTTTATAAGATATGTCATTTTTATGAACCATCAATGAATTATTGTGTCATCGCCTACTAAAGTAGGTAAACCAAAATCTTAAAAATTTAATAACAAATCTTTTTTCTGACCAATAAACAATTTTTATGGTTCCTTTAAATGACACTTTAAAGAGCCATATTATGCCACACATTGTTGTAGTGTATAATAAGTGTTATTGGTTAGATAAAAATAAAAACAAGTATGGTTAATTTCGGTTTTTTTGGAATATTTTCGGTACTGATCGGAATTTCCGAATTTTTAAAACATTATCTTACTAAGCCCTGAAAGTCGCCACTTTTTTCTAGTTTAACCGACTGATGTGTACCTCTTATCGTTTCAGATTGCGCCATATGCTGTTCATTCTTATCTTGGACACACTAATCAGAATCGCAAACGATACAAGTGTTGTCCAGAAAGTAACAGACGTTTTGAAATAAAAAATTTTAAACGTAAAGAAAATCTAATGTATACATTTGGGGGCTACACTCTTGGGATATTTATCAACACAAGCGCCATTCAAATTGAGGCGCGGCACAAGTGTTTTGATTCCAACTTTTATAAATCCGCCGCCTGATATTTTAACCTGCACTGGGTAACGCTGGCATGAAGTTAAATTCTAAACCTCATCTCTGTTTCTAAGTGTCATGTGTAAGTCATGGAGGTGATTTGGACTGTGAAGTATCTACTGCATATATAAAATTTTTCTGTACGTGTGTTTGTGACTGAACTCCTTCTAAGCGACTGGACGGATTTTGATGAAATCTTTTTTGTGTCTCCCTGTGGGGCCCCAGATGGTTTAAATTCACAATTACGACCGATCGGATTATAACACTTTTTTAAAACTTCTTTTTTTGTTGATGTCGCACTCTGCTATTTCGCGTACCAATTGACACAACTGCGAAGTCACTACCGTGCCGATGTGTATACATTTTTACATTCTGTATGGTGGGGTTCCGATATATCGAGGGCGGAAAATCTAGTATTATAGAAAACTATGACGAAATGCATATATCTCCTTTGTTCCATATTTATCGTCCATAAATCAACAGGCAAGAGCTCTGCAATAACTTCTGGATCCTTTTTTAATTGTATAGAGTTATAAACATGGATGATAGCCAAGACGTCACGATGATTATAAACACAGACAACATATACTGACAAATTACATAACTGAAAGTATTTATTACTTTTCCCCACCCATACATGGGTATGTAATAAATAAGTTATGTTGAAAATTTATTTTTTTACTAATAAAGAAATTTTTATTTGCTTATATTGTGTATAAAGATTTTTGATTTTAAGTTGGGAGGGTAAAGTTCGTCCCCCTAGGTAAGTCATATGGGTAACAATATTCGAAAGGTTAGGAACCACTGCTTTACAGCGATTACAAAAAAGTTCTTTATTTATAACGAGTTGTGTATTAATTCATTTGATCATGTTTTTGTGTGTGAAGCTTGTGACGACCCTGAACGTTTTATTCGCGTCAATTTTAATCATCCAAAAAATCATCGGCCCTACTATAAATTAGGTTAAACGGTTCACACGTGTCCGATGCCACAATTTACAGAAATTACAGAATATTGATCTCCAGACATACTTTCGTTCACGTTTACTATGAACCGGTAGGTGTAAAAATGTTGAACAAAATCCAAATTTGAATAAAATAATTTGTAAAACTGCAAAGCGATCACCCGTTACAAAGAACAGTATTAATACACGCCGTCATCACATGCTACTGCATCCATTGTCACCAATTAACCAAGTTACACAGATATACAAATGAAGATCATGTTGATGATGTGGAATCTGGAAACGTTGCGATGGTCCACTGCCTATTTAGTCTGTACAAGTAAAAGGTCCAAAAGGTACACTGCAAACCACTCTGTATAACCAATCAAAACTCCAAAACATTAAAAAATAAATTTAATGTATTTATTAGTGTTTATAATATCTTTTAAGAAAAAAACTATGTAACACGAAATGTTAACAGTCAACTGAACATAAATATTAAAAACATAAAAAACATCACTGAACATGGAAAAGTACTGAAGGAATTCTACAAATGTAAAAAAAACTATGCATAGTATAGATTTATTTTTATACCAAGCTTAAAGTCCATATCACCACAGTCTAACTAGTAATTTCAATATCCTTCGCTTTATCTGCAACTGTGTCTTTCACTTTATCACCCGATTCATCAGTGACTAACTTTTCTTTTGAATGCAGATCTAATTTATCAGCGGATTCCTCACTGTCTACTTTAGTCTGTACCTGGTCGGGAGACTGCAATTTATCTTTTGATTCATCAGTATTCAATGGATCATTGGTATTCTCCACAATATTGTGTTCGTTGTCAGCAGATTTATCAGTGTCCACCTTTGATTCATTGATATCCAACACATTGCTCGATTCATCTAGTTTATCTTTAGAATCATCTGATTTGTCGGTTGAAGCATCCGCATCCTGTTTATCAATTGATTCGGTTGTGGAGTCATTGATGTTCAAATTATCAATGCTCGATTCATCTTTAGAATCATCTGATTTGTCAGTTGATTTGTCAATTGATTCATTTGCGCTCAAGGTATTACTAGAGTCATTGATGCTCAAATTATCAACAGATTCATCGGAGGACTTTGGACTTTGTTCTACTCTACAGCCATTTTGCCCAGCGCTTTTTCCCTCACCAACATCTTCAGTCTTTGATTGCTCACAAACTATGGTCGTGTCCTCAGGCTCCACAATTTGCCCATCACCTTCCACTTCACTAACTTGAGGAACTATATCACTAGGTTCTGCGGTCACCGGTACCTCAACCTCTACATTCGTACTGTCTGGGTCTTCAATCGTCGAGTAAAAATGTTCTGAATTACTCAGTGTGGTATCATTTAACTCATCTACAGCCTCATTAAGTACAGTTTTATCGCACTCCGGCGTTGAAGATCGACTCTCCGGAGAACCCGCTCCTTTAACCGAATCTTCAATGTCCACTTCCGTTAAATCCCCCCTGCAAATCGAGCCGGGAACTATTCTTTCACAATGAGGAGTAGAAGAACGTCGCACCAAGGGCTGATGAGTTTCTGTATCAGTATCTGGTTTGTCTGAATTTTGAGTATTTTCAATTTCGAAATTGAGAACGTCAGAATCAGTAGTTTCGATGTGATCCTCTACATTAATTTTACTAGCTGCTATTTTTTTGGGAGACGACTGTACAGAAGAAATGCATGCTGTATCCATTTGTGATCGAATGTCGCATCCATTTACGTACAGTCTTACAATGTTGTCATTTGCAAATTCGGTTTCAAATACGGTTGAACCTGCAAAAATTGTTGCGTTAAGTAAAAATAGTCTTTTAAAGACTTTTAATGGATGAAAGTTGGAATGTGTCACATTTTGAAATGGGTGAAAAAATCATGGTAAATTTCTCTTTATTTCTTCAAGTGAAACAAATTAAGACGTAACCAGATGAGAAAAACATGGAAAGTATTTCCACAGCGGATGCTGAACAGCCTGCAACTTTTCTAACTCTCTGTGAATATGAACATGCGAATGTTACTTGTCCCCTAGACTAAACCGGATCACTCATGCGCCCTGCGTTTGAGCTTCTAACAAAGAGAAACCTTATCCCTAATTTTTCTTTCAACTTGTCCTTCACCGACCAAAACATTCAGCAACCATTGACGACCTATTAATGTAGAGATAAAAAGTGCCTCACATGACAATTTTGAGAAGACAACGTTTGCAACTGGATTAGCACTGACAAAAGGCATCTGGAAGTCAATAAAATAACCGCTTGATGCACCATTCATAAAATGGTCAAGGTAAAATGTGTTCTTTTTAGGTCAAACTTAAAATGGTAAAACCAAAATCTGAACGTATCAAATACATAAAACGTAAAAATTTCGCAAAGTTGAACTGTATAGAAACATACGAAGGTGTTTACAATGAACGTAATTTTTACGTACGTATATGTAAGCGATATGTAAGTCTTGCGCATAGTCGCAAAGGTTGAAAATGTGTCAAAGTGACGTACGGTTGCTAGTAAAAATAAATAATTAATGTTGGTTGCACTGGTGGGTTGGTATAATTGAAAAATATTTGCGCTTGCTGACATTCAAACTTCAAAGCAGGTATCATTCATGGGGCGAAGATAAATTATACACACATTTTTAGATTGACTTCACTCCAAACCTTACAGCGCGTCATTCCGGGAGTCAACGTGAAGGGGCCCTGTTAGCCAAAGACGCACGAACAAGCGGCGTATTTTGGCGCGAGATATTAATAGGTTATATATTTACAATTTACTACATTAATTATACTCTTTTTTGCAGATAGATGTCGCTTACATTCCTATAGATTAACGTAAAAAATTACGTTAATTGTAAACAGCGAAGTAAATTTACGTAAATGATACGAATATGTACGAGTTACGTTTTATGAAATATTTACGTATACGTTCATTGTAAACGCACACATACAGGGGAATGACGCTATATTTTCTTACTTGAAAGAGAAAAATATTTCATATAAGTTTCTTTATAATTAAATTAATGATTGTTGACGTTGTCTAGCGTTATCAAAATAGGTATAATGTTATGTAACCTGCAGTATAGATCTTCCTGTATACTTTAAATTTCAATTTTTGTTAAAGATTAATGTATTTGTTGATTTGGTACTAAAATTATTGTATTTGGTTTGATTTATTGTTCAGTTAAGAAAGATTAGGGACATCTGGAAGTAATTGCGATAAGGAATTCGTTATCGCTCCATTAAAGCTAATTAATTTGAAGTTAAACAGGTGTTCATTTATCGAGGACGAGCAGCAATGGACATCACAAAACCAAATTCTTACCTGAATAGTTAGTTGGGTGGCCATAGTTATATAAATCGCAAGTCTAACGGCATTTAATGAGCCATTTTGAAAACGTGCATTTATAAGGGTAAAAATGTCTACTGAACCCGAATTCGGATGTTGCCAAGCTGATTTTTGGCTAATTTCAAAATGGCGGCCAATATGGCGGTCAAATATATAAATGTTTATGCCAGACGCATTTTACATAGTTTTTCGGATTGAGGTGTTAAAAAAACATACAGGAGGCACAGAAAATTGCAAAACATATATTGGGTACATTATACAGACAACACGGTAACAATAATCGTTTTCATATAACATCGCTAACGTCTTAAACTCACTATCGCCCAATTTAACGAGCTTGAATTTAAATAGGTTTAAGAAAAAATTAAAAAGTGAATTGCTGCAATTTCGCATCTCAATCATGATGTAAGGAATTTGCAACTCCTCTTCTGATGTGTCTATTACTTTTTTTAAAATTATTATATTGGTACCATGTATGTATTAGGAACTTAAGTGCATGTGAGGGGTTGTGCATTTGCATTTGCATATTTTCGTGTCATGTACATAATATACAGGGTGTTTTTTTGGGAGCTTTAGTTAAAAGTTTCTGGGAAAGTAAAATAGGTAGGTTTTTGAAAATTTGTACTTAGGAGTTACTCTGAAGGCCGAATCGATGTAAAATATTTTCAAAATGGCCGCACTTCCGGACACCGGAAGTAGATAGTAACTTCGTTATTTTAAATGGCAACCCCTATTTTTTATTGCATTTTTGGATTCTACGTGAAATTTCACTTCTTTTGATACCCATATGTCGATATCTACCATTTATGGTTTTTAAGTTATTTTGACTTTAAGAAAAAAAAATGGCGGATGCAGATGGTACCTTGATAATTGATTACTTGCAAACGGTTGTAGTCATGGCAACCTATTTTTATCAGTGCATAGAGAATGAATAGGGCTTTCTTTTAGTGCACTTAAAAAAAGTTAAGTTGCGTACGACCGCCCCTATGGATATCCAAATTTATGAAACTTCAAAGACTAAAAACTCAGTTTTTTTTAATGGAATGACCATGTTCTTACTATTCCATGAGATAGAGAATCGAAATGGGCATATTTTGACATACATGTTCCTATAGCTATCTTTAACAGTTTCTGACTTATTCCCATTTTATTGAATTGACACTATTTTTTTCGGATTTTCTTTTTAGTAGTCGGCTATGATTTTATAACAATCGAATTTTAAACAAATCTAGTGACACTAATCCATCACCCACTGTTATAGGTTAACATAAGTTTTTCAAAAATCGAAAAATGACTCGCAGTGGTTTCATCTATTTTGAAATTTAATTGTTATTTATGGTGAAATGGGCAGAATCGCGGCGCGTGCTTTCCGTACATTCATTCGAAAACTAGAACGAAATTGTATGAATTTTTGAAATTTTGTACCCCTAATGCACTACAAACCGTTGAAGCACAAGTTATACAAAGCTCTACAAGAAATGAGAAATTAAGAAAATGAATTGAATTGCAAATGCAAGATTAACAAAATAAATTCAATGCAAAATATAAAAAACTTTGTTGAAACATTTTTGGTATGGAATTGTTGCTAGAACAGATATCGCATTTCCTCTCTTAATTTCCAGACTTATACGTTGTTTAAGAAATTCAGTTGAACGACTCTGTTTAGATTTTTCAAAAATTTTCTGTCCTATATCCTTATTAAGTGAGTTATTTATTAATGAATTATTTAGACTAGAACTAGAATCAGTGGTATTAAAGAATCCATTCCTTGATTTGTTTAAAATTCGATTGTTATAAAATCATGGCCAACTACTAAAAAGAAAATGCGAAAAAAAATGGCATCAATTCCGGGATCAATTCAATGAAATGGGAATAAATCAGAAACTGTTAAAGATAGCTATAGGAACATGTAATATCAAAATATGCCAATTTCGATTCTCTATCTCATGCAATATTAAGAACATGGTCATTCCATTTAAAAAAACTGAGTTTATAGACTTTGAAGTTTCTTAAATTTGGATCTCCATAGGTGCGGTTGTTCGCAACTTAACTTTGTTTTAAGTACAGTAAAAGAAAGCCCTATTCATTCTCTATGCACTGATAAAAATGGGTTGCCATGACTATAACCTTTTTCAAGTAATCAATTATCAAGGTACCATCTGCATCCGCCATTTTTTTTTCTTAAAGTCAAAAAAACTTAAAAACCATAAATGGCAGATATGACATATGGGTATCAAAAGAACTGAAATTTCACGTAGAATCCAAAAATGCAATAAAAAATAGGGGTTGCCATTTAAAATAACGAAGTTACTATCTACTTCCGGTGTTTCCGGAAGTGCGGCCATTTTGAAAATATTATACATCGATTCGGCCTTCAGAGTAACACCTAAGTACAAATTTTCAAAATCCTACCTATTTTACTTTCCCAGAAACTTTTAACTAAAGCTCCCAAAAAAACACCCTGTATATATATGTGTTTAGGTGTTTACGCTTGCTACGTGTTTAGGCCACATGGAAGAGCAGTGCTTACTCACTGAATGTGGTCCTTTTTCCACCTTTTGCGTTATTTCTATTTTTGAATGTATTTTTTTTCCCCTTTTCTGTTTTTTTTTTGGTGGAAATTAACATTATGGTCGGTGTTTCTTGTGAGAACTCAGGTCTAGCCTGGTTAACTAATCGCACGGATTAAAATCAAGTAACGATTAGTGTCTGTGTCTGTGTCTGGTGAAGTTATGTAGGGTCCTTAATTAAAAAAAAAAAAATAAAAAAAAAATAAAAAAAAATCACACGTACATTGGACATCTAGGGATAATGTAATTCGTACTTACCAACATACCTATTGATGGGCACAATAGCCAACGCTATCAGGACATTATTATTATTATTATTAATATAGATAATTCTGACGGCAAATGTATTACCTATATTTCATTCAAAAATTTTAACGGAACTTAAATTTCTTCATCATTCTGCTCATTTTTTTTACGATTGAAGCAGTCGCCAAGACACTTGTTGATATTTGTGCACTTTTAGTTCATAGCATAATTTATTTAAAGCCAAGTTTTTAGGAGGACTAGTCTGACCATTCGATTTTTCAGTGTCTCTGATCGCATTTGCGAGACAATATGTATGGTACAAAATGTCCCCGGCAACAGCATCATGAGAAGATGCAACTCTACGCCCTTCTGTACCCACTGCACCCAATGTAAATTTCCATAAGAGCGTCTGCCTAAAAAACTCAAGTTGTTTTTGAAAAATAAAATTTTATATTAATAATATATAAATTTTATATTTTATAAATTTAGACCTTTATCTACAAACTGTTCGGAATATTTTTTTAAAAAAGTTTATAGCAACTGAATACCGGCTGTTTAAAGATTAGATATTTTGCACCGATTATTGCGCTAACCTGTTATATTGTTTTACTCTCGATCAAGAAGATTTATGGCAAAAGTAAACCGACAGTTTTCTAGATAAGTCACTTCTGAACATTACCCCAAAAAATGAAATCACATTTTTTGTAAATAAAGTCTGTATCTTGGCGGGCGGTAAATAAACAATTTGAGTGTAGCAAGTGGCGCCGCTGCACTGTGTCGGCGGGAACCGAGGGGTAAACCACCTAGTTAATTCGGTGTACAAATAGTAGTTAATGTTCTGTAAATGCAGTTAATTTCGAGTTAATTCAGTTAATGTAATTTAATGTGGTTAATGCTCAGTTAATGTAATTAATTAACATTTAATGCCATTTAATACTACTCGAGATACTACTATAGGTAGTGGCTATAGCATGTGAAAAACCAAATTTTGAACCTGGTGTTAGATTTGCTTTTATTCCAAGTGCCTATGTATCAAATTTTATTTAAATACTTTCATAAATAAAAAAGTTTGCAATTCAAAAAGGGCATTGTGAATGTAGAATTGATTAGGCCCAACTTTTGGCATTGCGTATTATATGGCTAAAACTATGCCCTCGACTATGCCCATATTGAATTTCATGCAATTCGGTTTATAACTAACGGAGATGTCAAAAGGGCCTTCTTTTTTTACGTACATTGCCAATTCACGAACTCCGATCTATAACTCTGATAAAGAATCCAAATGCAAAATTTCATCATAATCGGCGGTCCATTCGTTTTCAAGGTATCGTGCTAATGAACAGATCTCGGAACAGATGGACAGACACCGCAAAATTATAAGCTCTCTACGTCCTAGGAGACCGTCAATAATTTAAAAATGTTGGTACTTACCAACAGTTATTAAAAAGCACAAAATTTAATAAACAAAATTTGTCGAGGGAAATGTAAAACACTAATTTAATTAATTCGCAGCTTTTTTGGGACACCCTATACCTATATCACCACAGGATATATTTTCCTACATTTTCCGAACTAGCTATGAAGTTAATTAACCAACTCTTACGTATATATAAGTAATAAATTATGGAAAACAATTTAATACTAAATAGTACACAATAAAATGGATAGTGGCGCCATCGTGCTGTATTTGTGAACTAGTGCAAAATTCGGCCTGGCAACATCCAGAATCGGATTCAGCACATTTTTTTACATCTAAAAAACCATGTGGCCAAAATGGCTCAAAAAATGCCGTTAGAACTAAGAAACAGTCGTTTTTCGATTTGGCCACTTAACTATGTGTGGTCAAAATCAAGGTTGACCCAAAAATAGTACATGACTCCTACATTACCTTTTTTATAGCACTGACAAAAGCAGCAAAACTAAAAAAGGGGCGGAGTTATTTTTGGATGGGTAGCTTTCTAGAATAGATCCTAAAGAAATATGCGAAAATAGCTAGGAGGAAGTGGCGAATCTTTCTGTGCCAACTCACCTCAGTGCGCCAGTGTTATGAATGGTTAACAGTAAGAATGGATTGGTGGTACCTAATTCCGAAAGTTTTAAGCATCGTTTGTGTCCAACTGGAAACGATAGCACACTCGAAATTGTGAATCAGGGTTCGCCGTTTACAAATTTTATCTAACCACCCCGCCCTAATAATTTTTCCATCCAACTTACTTTCATTAGAGATTTCGTTCAATTTTTCAGTAGCCTCCTCGTCCATCCATCTAAATCCTGGTAATGCTTCCATCTTACACTTAATTGCGAGAGGTGGATCAGTCATGTCGTCCGGTAGGGCGCGAATCTCGCTCGTACTCGAGGTATTACCATAATCAATGAACATAACCTCATATTCAGTGTCCTTCATGTTTAAAATTTGGGCTCGGTACCAAGTTTCGTCATCGGCTTGTAAAGCGGCAACCACAACTCCTTCTGCTACTGTATCACAAGCGGGGAATTCCGCCGCGTTTGCGAGATGTTCGGCGATCGCGTCTGATTTAGAACTATCGGTAACTTTCTGCATCCAAAAATCGTGTATGGAATTGATGTAGGTTATATATGCGCTTTCAGTTTGAGGTAACAGCTGTTCGGAGACGTCTTGACCGTTCAGAATGAGTTTAACTATCAATGTTTCACCAGTACTCAGTTTATCAATGTTAAAAATGGTTACGCCATCTGCAGAAATAGTCTTGAAGTCTTCGGTTGCTTGCGATGACCATTGTAGAATTCCAGGTGGTTTTTGTAAGCTGCACTTTTGTGCTAACGGTGATAACATTATTAGATCCTCGGGTAACTGCCTCAAACCGGTGCAGGTACAAGAGTTGCCATAATCGACGAAGAGTACCTCTATTCCGGCAATGGTGTTTGATAAAATTCTCGCTCGGTACCAATTCTCATCGTCGGTATACAATGCGGCACACAAAGAACCCGGCGTCAGGTCTTCCAGCTCTGCGAAACTAGCAGCGGTCATTAATTGTTCGGCGATCCACTCCAAGTCGGCGACAGAGTTTTCAAGCTGAATCCAAAACTCGGATGGAGAATTTAAATGGCTCACATACCCAGTGCAGCTGCTTTCGATTTCGAACTCTAACTTCGCTGCTAAACCTTCCTGCAGTAGTGCTTTTGCTACATCTTGACCATCAGCGTATAACTGCACATACGTGGTCTTCTCATCTTGGTGGATAATTTCTACAGACAGCCCTTCGCTCTGTGTGAGAGCTTCGAAACGTTCACACGCGCTGCTGCTCCATTCCTCCCCTTCCAGCGGTTTCGCGAGTAGACTGCAGCGCCGCGCGTACTGTTCAAGCGCTAACATATCCGGAGATAGTGTCTTCACATTGGTCGTGATGGCGTCGGTGTTGCCATAATCAACGAAACGAATTGAGGTTATTTCACCATCCGCGTCGAGTATTTGCGCCCTATACCACTGCTGATCCACCGAGTACTGAGCGGCGCACAAAACACCGGCGCCCGGGTTTTCCAGATCAGGATACCCCTCAACTTCCTCCTGCAGTGTCGCTTGCAAATTGTCAATTGTTTCAGTAGCTTCCAGTAGTTGAAGGTAAAATTCGCTCGGACTGTCAGTGTGGCTTAAACATACCGGCACGCCAACTGCACCTGCTTGTTCGGTCGGTTGAGCAACCTGCTCAAGTTGGCCTTCTGTAGATTCGACCGGTTGCACTTGTTCTGCGGCCGTGGTTTCTTCAACTGCAGCCACAGTTTCGCCACTTAGTTGAATTTCGGCCTCCCAACCGGATTCCCCGTACCAAACAGTAGCACTTACTTCTTGTTCGACAAAAGAGTCATCAATGTTAGGGGAGGTAACCTGAAAGAAGCGTTGAAAATGAGACGTTATGAATTCTACAATGGGAAATTGATTTTTGAAAAATTTGAAATTGTACCACTAAAAGTGAGCCTGCTACTAAAGATGAGTGAGCTTACCTCTAGTGCCAAAACATGAAGTTGTTTGAATTCGTCAGCGAGTTCACGCAATTCAGTAGTGGCAACTGTCTCAGAATTTCCATAATCAATATATAACACGGTGACATTGTCACCATCAACCTTCGAGATTAACGCCCGATACCAATTCGCATCTGACGAATGAACAGCATAATGTTGTCCCTCTTCAGGTGCCAAGGGCTCTTCTAAAGTGGTCGTATCGTAATGGTTAAAAAGTCTGTCCAATAAATCCGCTACACTGTCAGAATGTTCAGTTGGTTGGATGAAAAGTTTCTTTTCGTTTGCGTCAACGAAAGAAACCCATCCACTCACTGTACTGCTTAGAACTGGTAATGGACATAGGGGTTCGATTGATGGATATGCCCCTTCATCTGGTTCTATTATGATAATTTTAACTCCACTTGCATCGTATAATGTTACTTCAGTTCTAAAAATAGTCATACGTTATTATTTTGTAACAAAAATTGCTCTAATTATAGCAACTACTACATTCTACTATTAACAGAGTACACTGTAAGTCCCAGAATAGTTGAATGTCTCATTTATCTGTGAAACGATTTTTTTTCAAATTAGTTAAAACTACAGTAATAAGCAAAGAATTTCTTGACCGCCATTACAATTTTTTTTCACTTCCGGTTTGGACGGAAATAACCCTAAAATTTTTTGTAAATACCCTGTATATTTTTTTCTATTTTTGAACAACCAGGTTCAAAAATACTAAACAATTCATCTTTAATGGAAAACACAGAAAAATACATTGGCGTTGAAAGACATAATAATGTGATTATTATTATTATTATTTTATTGAAAATTAACTGCACGACGATAAATAATTTCATACTTTACTCAAAACTGAAAGATGCATGTTTTTCAAAGCCAATGTGGTAATTCTTTAATTTATTAAAACGATTACTTTTGGGCAGTTAAGGGTCTTCTGTACCCACTGTATCCAATGTAAATTTCCATAAGAGCGCCCGCCATAAAAACTCAAAAGTTTTCCAAAAACAATTTTTTTAAGAACTATTTTATAAATTTAGACCTTTATCTACAAAATGTTCGGACTATTTTTTTGAAATAGTTTATAGCAACTTAATACCAATTGTTTAAAGATTAGATGTTTCGCACCGATTATTGCGCTAATCTGTTTTATTTTTTTACTCTCGATCAAGAGGATTTATGGAAAAAGTAAACCGACAGTTTTTTAGGTAAGTTACTTCTAAACATGATCCCAAAAAATGAAATCATAATTTTTGTAAATAAAGTCTGTATCTTGGCGGGCGTTAAATCAACAATTTGAGTGTAACAAGTGGCGCCGCTGCACAGTGTCGGTGGGAACTAATTAAGGACCAAGACAGGAGTTGACAAAGCAAGAATATCATCTTATCTCTTGCAGCTATAATAATCATCTATACACTATAATGTAAAAAAGTTGCGCAGGTAAAGAAGACTCTTAAGCCACTCCCAATAAATTTTGACCATTGTAATAACAGACCCGTTTCACAGTCACAAAATTATAAAAACCCGGAAATTTAAAATCGCATGTCCCATTGTATGACTTAGTTATAAAGTCTTATGTTTTGAATATTGACCTTTAAACTCTCAGCAGTACATAGTTTCAAATTGTTTATCAAGTTCAAAAATATTAGTTTGTTCGTATAAATGAAATTAACTGCAAATTGAGGAAAGGCAAATACAAAACGCAATGACAGGTTTGACGTTAAGGATGTCAATTTAGATACGGCAATTATAATTGGAAGCAAATAATTGCCTGTTTTATAGGTTTTGAAAATTCGGCCAATTAAAAATGTTCATTTAAATTTGGCGGGAATTTTTTGGGAGGAGCTTAACTGCATCTGTTGGGTGAACAGATAATAGTATTCATAAATGTGGTTGTGTATTCAAAAATAAAAAATATAAAAGGTGTTCTATTTAAATAAGTGGTTGGGGTTTTTCCGGAAGTGAAAAAAAATGTTCATTATGGTCAATGAATTTTTGGCTTTTTACTCTTATTCGAAAAAAATAGTTTCATAGATAACAGAAATATTCCAACCGTCCCTGGACTTACGGCGCACTCTGTATAAGCCGCATCAACAATTTAATCCGCGCTAGAAGATCGAGATTGATATCCTAACCCTCAATATCATTTTCATTGTTGTTTTCGATTCTCTGGGACATTCTGAAACAAATGCGATCATTTTGTGATGATCCCCAATAGCTATTTAGCGTCAGGCTAGTACTTTTCCGATTGTAGGAAGATTTACCTACAAGAAAACTCGCGCCAGAGTAAATCGGCAAAATCACGAATCCTGCTCCCAGGAGGATTTTGAATTTCTTCAAAAATATCGAGATGCTAAAAGATGGAGTCTAAAACTGTAGTTAGGCTGCAGTACACTGACATTGTAGAAAACAACCTCTAATAATAATAATAATAATAATAGAACAATAGAATTCTCTTAACGCAAAGTAAATGTTGATGAAACTTCCACTTTTAAAAAACATACACAACACGCAAAAATAAAGAGTAAATAAACTATACTTACTTTTCTTCTAGTACATTATCAACATACATTATCACAATACATCCAATGTATTGTTTCAATGTATCCTCAAATGTTTGACTCGCGCTCTCTAGGTTGTGCACGGTACAAAGTACCTGAATACCATTTGGTAATGAAACGTTAAAGGTGTCTAGTCCTTGAACGTCATCCACGGTAACAGATATCTGCTGTCCGACCAATATTGATGGATCAAAAACCTCTACGTACTTTGCCAAACCATCCCGTACTAAAGCTTCGTTTACACTCTGGCCATCATTAACCAAATCAACGTAGTGACTAAAACGGTTTAATTTAGAAACTATTTACCATGAACCTCTGAAAATATTACCCATTGTTTTCGCTTGTAACGAAAGTGCACATGAAAGATTCTTTGTCAAAATGTGAGGTTAGACTTTCGCTCGGAGGCCAAGCGCCACTTGCGTCTAAAGGCGTAAGACCGTTCATCGAGCAGTACAGCCCCTGCGCGGGAAGCGACATAAACTTCTTTTCTATAGGCCACACCTTATCCGTGGTTGAAAAGTTTCCAAAGTCGACGAAATGAACGTAATACTGGGAGCCCTTCATTTCGGAAATATAAGCGCGGTATAAAACGCGATCTTCCGGGAATTGAGCAATAGCCGGAGCGCCTACAGGTAAAGTTTCGTTGTTTATCTTGCAATACCAACTCTGGATATCCTCAACCAACTTGCGAAACTCCGCCTGTAAATCGCAACGGTAATTAAAATTGGTTCCTTGCCCAATTCAATTACCAATTAGTGTGAGTTAATCAAGTAAGAAGATCAATGTGATTCGATAAGTGAATTCAACTACATTTATTACGAGCTAGCTGTAGTTGAATTCACTTATTGAATCACATTGAACTTCTTACCTGATTAACTCACACTAATTGGTTCATGATTGAGATCGTAGAATTTGAAATCGTTTCAAGAATTCAATTACCTGAGATTCTTTTAATTGGCAATAGAAGTTAGATGGATCATGGAACCAACTGATTAGTACTTCTTCGGTTTTTCCTGCGACCTCTGGGTATGTGAATAGATCAGTGTTCTCTGCGGGGTCCTCCACCTTTTTCGTACTCTTCTCACTACCAAAATCGGATCTGTATGGCTTTGAGAACTCGCGTTTTTTTCCTTCCCATCCTTTTTCACTTCCTTCTCTAGAAAAGTACAAAAAGAAGTGTAGTACACACATCTTTACAACATTCATTGAAAATCGTAGATTAAAAAAAAAATTGCTGGAACATCACGAGCACCTATTGTTGGTCAAATCCCATATGTTACCTTGGCATGCACTTGGTAATATCTTGACAGAGCCCCTAAATATACAAAGTACTTTAATAGTAACAATAGTATGGTCAACAGTTATGTAGGTGACTTAGCAGTCCCCTAAATGAAACAACTGATTGAGTAAGCTTCTATTCTAATTGAACTGTCAAAATAAAGACCAAATAACTGCATAAATCACTAACCCAGCGGTAGAAGTTCAACGTCCCAAAAGAAACTCAAACCAGGGCAAAACTCCAGAGTTGAGAGTAGAGGTACCCAACAACATGCCACCAAGTAAAGCAATTACCTACCCGTCAGACCACAAGTATTAATCGCCCTGATGCTCAGTGTAAAATAAACTGTAACAAATATAGCAAACAAGCTCCTGGATCATGTACACAGAAAAATCATTAACCCGGTTTAGGAGCTCGTTAATAAAGAAAGGGGTAGGATCTGCTTGTTTAATTGTGAACCAATATAGCAATGTAAGAAAGAGATATCCTGATTCAGTCTATCACACTTTTGGTAGTAGAGTGTCATGGAGTTTTCTTACGAAAATCACGATCACACGCATTTAATTCCAAAACGCAACCAAAACCGAAATAGATATAAAAAATATTTGAAGAAGATAATATTGCAGAGTTCACAAAAAAAAGATTCTAAGAACTAAGCACTAAGTACACCTAGAAGATTTCACTCAAATGGTGCCATTAAAAGGTATTACGGAGAAAAATACTCAGATTTCTGTATGATAGACATAGACGGCATGAAGTTCTCTATAATTTATCTCCTGGAAATTATTTCTATTTTGGTAGTCCTGTGTTTCAAAATAAATCCACAGCGATTGTGATTTTCATAAGAAAACTCCATAAGATTCCACTAGTGGGGATAGACCGAGCAGATGTTTCCCATCTCTCTTACATTACATCAACCATAAACTGGATTTACTTTGTGGTTACACTAAAGATATAAAAGGTGAGAGAAAAAGACCTCAATAAAAACCCAAAAATTCTGAGGTGTTTAGGTAAATCAAATCTGTTTATAAAAAGCACCCCACCCCCCACACCAAGCAGACCCCTAACCGGCATATGTTAAAGAATATGCTTATCAAGAAGTTACAGGAATTTAAAACACCAACAAAGGAACTCACAGTATTTGAAACCAGAAAAGTACAGGGTGGTCAAAATTTCCACTTGGCTCACTCTTTATGATGAAAGTCAGAAAAAAATGGCCTCACTTTTAAAGAGAAAATCACTGCCGCACAAAGAATTCGGCCATATCTAATCGTTTGGCCGCTAGGGGGCGTTTCTCAAATTTAGTTGATTTCTTATTATTAAAGAATAATTGATTTTGGCAAAATCTTTCTTAGAGCTCAGTTTTTATACAAGGTTTATACTGTCTTAAACTACATTTTTCATACCCTATACAGGGTGTTCCTAAATATGATGTAAATACCAAAGGGAAATGATAATCAAGAAAATGTCATCTGCCATCTTTTGTTCGCCATAGAAACCTAATGCAAATAATATTAAATAAAACAAGTGATACCCAAATTTTAGCTAATCTTGCGCTCTTTTCAAAAACTCCAAAATATATAGTGATGTATGGAAAAATGTAGTTTAAAAATTGTATAAAAAACCAAACCCCGTATAAAAACGATGTATCACGATGGATTTTTAATAATAAAGTGGCGACTAAATTCGAGGAACGCACCCTGGCGGCCAAACAATTAGAGATAGTTAAATTCTGTTTCGGCCAGTGTTTTAAAATTGAGCTCCACACACCTAGCTACATTTTGTATATCTCTTCAAGTAAAGGGTGTTTCCGTAACTGTCCAATTTGGATCACCCTCAACCTAGGAGTGTTCATGGACTTTATTATTGGGTATCCAACACAAGCAATTTGGATTTGGATACCATTTTGACACCATTCGTCAAAGATGTAGGGCCATTAACAACATTCTTTTGAATAATTGCACACCTAGAGGGCAAAATGCGTCATATGACAAAAGTAAGTGTCAATATATTGATTACGAACTTTGCAGTAGCATGGTTCAACGGACAAATTGACGAAATTGTGGCTCAATGGTAAAGCGTTGGGCTACAAAACCGGAGGTCGGGTGTTCGAACCTGGACTAAGGTAGGAATTTTTCATCTGTGGCAGAGAAGGGAATTCCCTTCGATCCATTTCGAGCATTCTGCCGACCACTCCGAAATAGGTTTTCCTAATTCGTAAGGTAAATAGAGTAGTATAGAACTTAAGACCTTCTGCAGGGGCACCTCTAAAAAGCATTTTGCCGGTCACTCTGTAATTGGGCGAAACAAAGGTCTAGAACAAGAGGGAAAAACTCTAAGTGCAACCCCATCATGTAAACTTTAACTAAAAGCGCATAATTCTACATGAAAAATGATTATCTTCTTTTCTTGCAACCCCAAACATCCCTGTCATGGCCATCCTTGCGAGTCCTGTTAAGTAGTCCTATAAAATGAGAAAAAAATTACCCAAGCTTTAACCTTGTTTTTTAATTAATGAACACCACATATGCACCCACATTTAGTAGAATGGAAACTAACTATTACCCTTAAAAAACTATGCACATGTTAGAAACAAAGCATAGGTACCTACTTTGAATTAGGAGCCTTTTGTCCCCATGAAGTACTACCATCATTCCACCCGTCCTGCTTGTGTCTACAAGAGATTTAGTCAAATTTAGTAAGAAACAAAACTATTACACACTAACTTTCTCCCTTGACTGTAACTTCGCCCTTCATCTTTCTCCGAACTATCATCTCCCCAACCACCCTGCCCCGAAGTCTCTCTAAAATACACAGTTAGTCACAAACACAAGAGAGTGCATCTACCTTCTATTCTTGGTAAAATCTCTATCACTACCACCACTTCTCCACTCCTTCTTAAACCCATCACTACAATAATACCAACAATAATTTCCCCAGATATTTACTAAGTTGGAATTACTCACCTTCTAAACTTATCGGCGCCCCCATCTCTACTTTCATCTCTATCTCGCCTAGAACAAAATAGTAAGCAAAACAGTTTTGAGATAATCCCAATACCGTGGGGGTCTATCCTGTCGCCATGAATCTTGTTTTTTAGCACCCCAATCGCCACGATCTTCACCGGAACTTTTCCACTCGTTCTTCGACGCATCCCCATCTTCACCACCTTCATCTCTTCTTCTCCTGTAACAGATTCACTAAATGAGAATTTTTTGACAAGCAATCATTACCTAGGAGGCCGATCTTGTCTCCACGAATCTTGTTTTTTATTTTCCCACTGAGGGGACCGTTCTTGTTTAGTGCCATTCCATTCTTCACTCGGTACACTTCCACTGTTTTCATCTCTATCCCTCCTAAGAATATGTATTAACCCAAAGTTACAACAAGTGTAATTTTTACCTTGGTCTGCTCCTCCAGGAATCTTGATTTTTATTAGCCCCCCATTGCGAGGAACGATCCTCCGTAGTGCCATTCCACTCTTCACTCTTCGTATTATTCCACCCCCCGCCGCGCTCGTTGTTATCCCGCCTAAACAGCAAAAGATTAAATGTGAAATTTGGGAACACACGATGTTACCTGGGCGGTCGATCCTGTCGCCACGAGTCCTGTTTTTTGTTGTTGTTGTATTCAGGCGCGGAACTTTCGGTGTTCCATTTGTCTTGATTGTCATTTGAATCCATTTTGTTGGAATCTTGTCTGGAAAATTCTCGATTTCGGAAGTCCTTGTTAAATTGGTTGTTAAGGTTTTTTCTTGAAATACCTCGGTCTGTTTCTTCGTTAAGTGTGTCGCTATATACATAGATTGTGAACATTAATGTAGATATAATGTCTGATAGCGGTTAATACAGACATATTGAATTTTTCATTACCAAAAATTGGTTCGTAAAAGGGGAGTTGGCCAGTAAATGTTTGTGTTTCACCCGAATAAAGAAATCGTGACGCCGCTTACGGATTTGCACGCAGAACCAATTTATTGTAAAACTTCAATTCCACTTGACAATTATGACCTATCTCAAATATCACCCTGACAACAGTGCAGTGTCAAACAAGTTAAAAAGTAATCATAAACGATTTACATAAAGCGCATTTCCACTTGCATTCATTTCCCATTTGTAAGATGCAACTTCTGTTAAAATCGTAAAAATCCGGCCACAAATATGAAAGATAGCGTTGCACATGAGCAATCCATTTTTGACATGCTATTTCAATTTCAGTTTATAAAAAGAATTTCATTTCAATGCTTTTCTAAATAAAAGCCGCTTTACATTAGGCAATTTTAGTGCAATGCAAGGCTTGTGCTATGCAATCTAAAATTGCCTTGCATTGCTTATACGGTTTTACATTTATGCAATTGTGTTGCAACTTTTGTGCAAGTTCAGAAAAGTGTTGCAGTACTGACAACATATTTTTCAAAAATTGAAACTTTTCAGTTTGTTTACACCGAAGGTTATTCTTGAAACTTAATAAAATTGACCATTAGGTATGAGCAAACAAAAGGAAATTAAGCTGGCTACAGCTTATTATGTGGTGGCGCTTGCTATTAAAAAAAAACACACAAAATAACACACGCGAAACCAAATAAATTGTGGTATTGACAAAATTACTAGAAAAGTTACTAGAACTTGCGCCAAACTTGCAAGTGAAATAGAACTTTCTCTATTTATTTTTCTTGCACCTGAATTGCGTATGAACATGCGCAGTAACGTATCTCTAACTTGCATTGCACGAAAATTGCCTAATGTAAAGCGGCTTTAAGAAAGTTTTCCTTTGTTCCAAGCGCCAAAGTATCAAATTTCACTTAAATGCTTCCATAAATAAAAAAGTTGACACTGCGCATGCGCAAAACCAAATTTTGAAACTGGCGTTAGATTTTCCTTTATTCCAAGTGCCTATGTATCACAATTCATTTAAATTCTTCCATAAATAAAAAAGTTGGCACTGTGCATGCGCAAAAACAAATTTTGAAACTGGCATTTGATTTTCCTTTATTCCAAGCGCCTATGTATCAAATTT